CAGCTGACCCCCCTTGCCCCATTACTCGTGGTTACATCAGCCTGCACAACCTCCGTTTCTCTTCTTCCTCTTGCCCTTACATCCTGCAGAAATTTGCAGGCCATAAAAGGAGCAGATGCCGGTTTGCATAGCTAAACTTAGAAGTTTCTTCCCCCAACTCTTTTATTCTGCCCCTCAAATTTTACCATTCTTGACTGCAGCTTCTCTAAATTTCCCCACTGCCTCCTTAAGGAAGATACCTCAAAATGAACGCAATATTCCTCCTGCAATGGTTATCGAAACCATTTAAAGGCCTGCTTGCTTTTAATACAGCACAATGCCTGCCTTCACAAGGGAAAACCACTTCTGGATTTCCCCAAGCGCTCTGATTTTGCGAGTTATCTCCTCATCATCCTTTCTGGCATTATTCAGAATCAAGATTTTTCATTGCTACTAATTTCCCTCGGGAAACGAGTCAGGAACTGGTCAGAGCAGCCGCAGCTTCTCTGCTAGCTTTGCTTCTAATCTTTAGGCGTTCAGGAGAATATAACAACGTCCTAATCATTCCTCCAAATCATTAACAGGAATGAAAACATGGTGCTGCAACCGACACCAACACCAATTCATGAGTTACCTATTCCCTGCTTTAAGACAGATGCAATTATATCTGGAAAGATGAGGTTGAAATCATTCTGCGGATCCACAGCTCTACACACCAAGTTTCTGTTTCAACTAACCTGGGAGTTAGTGCAAAAGGTGATGAACGTTTTTCCTGACTCTTTTGTTCAGACCAAATATTTGGGAACAAAAAGGCAGCGAGAAAAGCAAAAGCCACACATTACAAGGATGAGTAACCTCCACCAGACACAGATGATGAGCAGCACCACCGACCACAGTGACAAAATCCATTCAATCCATCAGCGTAAAGCCCCGGGGAACCTCTGAGGGATGCGAGGGGTTGATTCGACAGCTTTAAGCCAATTATATCATTTTTAACTATTTTCAAGTATTCAATGGACCAATTTGCAGCACTCAATTGCTCTTTATTGCCATTTACTCTCACCAGAAGCAATGCGTTCTAAAAGACGACAAATGCTCACTGACAAGAAAGGCCACACTTAACTTTCTTTGCACTCATTCGGTCTTCTCTTTCCCCCAGACGCAGTGCTGCACCCTGGAAGAGAGAACCTCTCCACAAGTCTTTTCCTCAGGCTCCGGTTGCATCTTGTGCAGTACACAGGTGCACACAAAAATGAAGTGTCTGTAGAGCATTCGTCTCAACTGGAGGTATTGCATTTCAGGAAAACTATTTTGAACATACTTTCAGAGAATAAACATTGCTGCTTCAGATGCAGTTGAGAATTTTTTAGTCAAAATAGGGCTTTTTTTGGATAATGTTCCTAAGAGGAAGTAAAGCTTTTGGCTACTCCTTTGAAAACCCTGGGACATCTCACCTTTGGTGGGAATTTAAACACAAAGCAGCTCAAGACTCCCATATCTGCCCCAAAGCCCAGTAACTCTACCAGCAGCAGCTCCAGTGTGGGAAGAAAGACCAAGAATTCAACTGGGAGGTTATTTTGAAAAAAGTCAGTCATTAGGAGTTAAATATTCTACGATTGCTTCTTTCCCATCTATCCCAAAATTAAGAAAAATACACGCACAAAGGCCATACTACCCTGAAACTGAAAAAAATACATCTTCATAATCAATCCAAAATTAACAGTCCTCCTAAAGTAGAGATTTTCATCTAGAGAGATGGCTGTTCAAGCCTTGCAGCTATAACCATATTTTTTCTTTTCCTTTCTATTAAGGCCACAACATTAAAAAGGCTTGCCTTTTTCCTCCAGCCAAAGA